TGACAATGCAACAAGTACAGTAAAAGCTTAAAACTTTCGAAAAGAAGTGAACAGTCAAATGGACCCAGTATTCAGGCGAGTCCAACAGGGGGAAGTTTCAAGACATTTATTGACGAAATATAAGAGATCACTTACCTGGTGTAACAGTTCAATCCATCCCCTCCGAGGAAGGCAGGATCCAGCCAATGGACTGCCAAAGCGATTCGGTGTTGAGCCGCCCAGAGTTTCCCCGATGCAGCAACCTCTGTGAACAGGCAGGAAACTGATCCATGTCAGGAAAGACAGATCAGACAGGACAGTTCAGGGATCCAGGAGTCTGTAGCCCTGGAATTACGGGAATTGAAACTGGCCTTCCCCGGTCTCCAAACCAAAACCAGAGGGCTCCACGGAGAAGGACCAGAACCCCAGCTCCATGCCGAGCCAAATCCCTGAGGGCTCAGGCAGAGAAAAGACGGGACACGATCAGAAGACTAAATGACACAGAGAAAACCCTGACAACTAACACGAAAAACTAAGAATAATGATCTGGCCCCGATAGCTGGGCTAAACCCTATATATAGCAGAGGGTGCAGGTAAAGTAGATGAATGACAATTCAGGTGAATGAATGTCACGTGAATGAAGTGAGTTATCAGATCAGCTACCTGGGCTGCAATCATGACATAAACATTATTTGCTTTTCTTTTAAGCTCAACCTCTTCAAACTGAATGTCTTGCTGCAACAAAGAAGAAGTTACACAAAACAATGCAATGAAAACATCATCCTTCAGACTTTAGCTTCAGTCTCAGCGCTATACCAACTGATTGTCCTTTGTAAGGAAATAAAAAAACCTTCTTACATGTGCATTATCTTCTGCCCCACTTATCAATGTCTCCAGCAACAGGATGACATTTACCCATTTTTATCCTAAACCTCACCTAAAGCTAAGGAGAACTCTAAACTCCATTCAGAGCGTATTTACAGATGCCAGTGACACAAACCATGCAAGGTTGCTGGGGAATTCTCAGAGGGGGTTACAAGAGTGCTTTGACAGAGCCTGTGATCTAACTGCCAGTGATTCAATCCTCCGTCTTTAATGTGTTCCTGTTTTGAGACATCAGGGCTTCTTTAGAGGCTGGAAAAGATTATAGAGTGAGTTGGATTTTAGTAATTAAAATCAGATGACATGACTTTCATATGATATCGTGATTGAAAAACACATTTTTTGATATAGTATTGTCTTATAGAAAACTGCTGAAGTGACTGTACCAAAATTACAGAGCGGTTTACATCCATAAATATGTGTGTAACTTTTTTGTACTTTTGGTTTGTACAATAAAATATTTAAAAATCTAAGATAATACATAAACATAAATAAACAATAAATCAAATTGTAAAGAAGAATATTTTCAATCATGGCAGGTTCGTGCTATGATTATTACCTTAAAAATGATTCAAATCTGAAAAGTAAATAAACGACATAAAAGTTGCCTAAACAATTATAATAAATACCATAAACTAGGGCTGCTCAGTGCCGCAGTGGGTAGCACTGCTGCCTTGCAAGAAGGTTGCATGTTCGATTCCCACCCCAGGGTTTTTCTGCATGGAGTTTGCATGTTCTCCCTAAGCATACGTGGGTTTTCTCAGGGTACTCCGGCTTCCTCCCACAATCCAAAAACGTGACTGTTAGGTTAATTGGCTTCTCTGAATTCTCCTTAGGTGTGAGTGTGTGTGTGTGTGTGAATGGTTGTTTGTCCTGTTTGTCTCTGTGTTGCCCTGCGATGGACTGGCGACCTGTCCAGGGTGTACCCCGCCTCTAGTCCAGTCTCTATTTCTGAACATCTAGAGCAACAACAAAAAAAAAATAAATATATATATATATATATATATATATTAGTGCTGTCAATCGATTAAATTTTTTTAATCGCGATTAATCGCATCAATGCCTGAGTTAACTCGCGATTAATCGCATTTTAATCGCACATTTTTTTCCTGATTAAAAATCATTTAAATACTCTCGATGACATACAAAAAAATACATACAGGCTAGGTTTGTGCCAATGTTCTTTTTTTAAAATGAAAACAGGTCACAGATACTGATTTATGCCAAAAATAACAAATATGTAGCCAAAAAAAAGGCCCTGAAAACAGGCTGATGTAAAAGACAGTCTTTACAGTTAATACAGTCTTTTGAACAAAGACAAGCATTTTACCCTACTGCTATAAAATTTAGTAGAGTTAACATTAGATGTTAATTAACCAAGGTAATAATGAACAATTTTCAATCAATACATCAAAATCAATAGACCAACATCACTAGATGGAGGTAGTCTATGCTCTAGAAAGTTACTTTTCAGCCTCTTAACAAAAATGAGAACACACACACACCCACTCACCCACACACACACACACACACACACACACACACAATACCGACCTGTGGCGTACACAGACAGCAAGAGTGCCGTAGCAGATTCCATTTCACCTCAGTAATCTGTTTTCTCAGCGTATTTCAGGTTGCTACTAGTTACCAGACACTCAACTTGTTTGTTGGTGGTGGGGCTTAAAGAAAAGGCACTAGCGTCACCCAGTGTATGAGCGTCTTTTTCCTTGGAGGAGCTCCGCTCTCGAAGCCTATGAGAAATGCATAGACTGGGGGAAAATAGCCCCGCCTTCCCGCAGGCTGCAGCGGGATGTACTTGGAAAATTGTACCATAAAACCACATAGCGTTAATCTCACGTTAAAAAAATTTGCGCCGTTAAAATGGCCTCGCGTTAACACGATAATAACGCGATAATTTTGACAGCACTAATATATATATATATATATATATATATATATATATATATATATATATATATATATATATATATATATATATATATATATGTATATATATATATATATATATCTTCTTTAAGATCAAAAAAGACATTTTTCAAAATGTGATAGACAAGTTGGGCTAATACCATTTAGAGTATTAAATATCCGCAAAAGTACCTTCAAATCCATTCTAAACTGGACAGGTAGCATAACAGAAACTTTTAAATCAATGTGCTGGCAGTTCGCTTTCTGTTCTACATGTATTTTAGCTTTCTTGCTGCTAAGTTCTGAAGTAGCTGTAATAGAGTAAAGCTCTTTTCTGAAAGATTATTGCAAATCATTGCAATAATCAGTTCTACAAATTACATTATCATGAACTTCATTCTCTGTGTTGCATTGTGAGAGAAATGGTCAGACTTTTTTCCACAGATGTTAAGATAATTTCTTTTGTAATCATTTTCATTTGGTTTGGGAAGTATGCAATTAAATCACATATGATACAGTTGTTTTATTACCACCTTTTCAAGTTGGGCTTTAAGTTTCTCTGTCTGTACTAATATCTTAATCTTTAGTTTTGACCCATTTGAGTTAAATATAATTCACTGCCATATAGGGATGGGAATCGAAAACCGGTTCCTGTTAAGAACCGGTTCCGTATTTTCCGATTCCATGGCATCGTTTGGCAGCTCACTGAACGATTCTTTTTTCGATTCCCGCAGCACCAGAGCCTAGAGCGCCGGCTCTGGGGAGCACGACTTACGTCACGTTTTTTACGTAAGTTTTACGTAAGTTACGCAAGTTACGCAAGTTGGAAGAACTATTCGAGGAGGAAGACAACGAGCTGCGGTCACTTTGTGAATCAAAGCCCCGTCTTTCCTTAGCCCAGAGGGTAGATCAGGAAATCCAGCTCTATAAAAGCTTGCCCTCCATCCCCTGCAGGGATAGCGCCACACTGTGGTGGTGGAACAAGCAAGATACGCTGCCCTTGCTATCTGACTGGCTGAAAACTACCTCTGTGTGCAGGCTTCCTCCACCCCATCTGAGAGGGTGTTCTCCAAGGCTGGAGACACCATAAGCCCTGAAAGATCCTGTATCCTTCTAGAAAAAGAAGATATGCTCATCTTTCTGCAAAATAACTGTTAATTTTCCCTACTACTCTTTTATAATTAGTATTTTTTGTTATTTAAAATAGGTTATTATCCCATCATTTGTTATTAGACATTGTTGGTTATTAAGTTTGTTCTTGTATATTTATTTTTCATTTAAACACAGATGTTACTCCAGTTTCACATTTCCTGTGGACATCTTGATCTTGTTGAGTTTGTAAGATTGTGCAATAGTTAAGTAAACAAAGTTGATGCTGATAATCAAACTGTTTGTTCTCCTTTTTCCCCCAAATTGGAATCGAAAAAAGAATCGATAAAGAATCGAATCATTTCATAGAATCGAAAAGGGAATCGGAATCGTGAAAATCTTTTCAATTCCCAACCCTACTGCCATATCTGACTTACTGTATTAAAAGTGGATGTAAAGTAAAAATGTGGATCAACGGGTTATGGGTCAGCAGGAGACATGTCAATGTTTTGTGTCATCAGCATTATTTGGTATATGAATACCATCTCCTAATAATACCACCAATAAGCAAAATACTGTTTGCATGGAGGAGACTAAACATTTTGCTATATTTTTCCCTTTTATTGTTCATTTTCTGTAAACAAAATGTAAGCACTATTAGTACTATTAGATGTACTATTGATATCCATTTACTTGTATATATTTAGCCACTGTCTGCTGAGATGGCGTCCTGTGTCTTCTTTGCAAATCCACTTGAATTTTTATATTTTGTTATAATAAAGCCCAAAACTTTTTACAATTTGCAAGAAAATATGCTGAAGGAGATCATGTTTTAAGAGGATATTATAAAAAACCCTTTTTTAGCTTCTGTCTCACACATCCGTTCAGCTTTACTATTATCATTAGAAATCTAGTGCAAACCAGTTTCGTTGCATTTATTGTTTCAAAAATGAGTATATGAGCTGTTTTAAAAGGCATTTAAGATGAAAACGACTGACTAAGTACTTCCTGTTTGTTTCTTTAAAGTTTTTACTTAGTCATCTGGCAAATTTTTTTCTACACAACAAGGCACGTCTGTGTGTGCTTTACTCATTTTTTTTCCTTTCCTCTTGTGTCGCCGACAGGCGGACCCACAAGGCCGGGACATTGCCATCCGTCCCTTCTTGGAGCACTGTGAGAACACCCACATGACCATTTGGCTTGGCATCGTCTATGCCTACAAGGGACTGCTAATGGTGAGAGAACACAAAATCTGACAGCATAATCACAGTCTGGACACATATACATACCCGCTTCCTCACTGTGTTTTGTGAATTTACCAGTGCCTTTTTTTTTTTTTTGTGAAAACTATTTAAATTTGATACACTTGTGTGAAGAATGTAGTTAAAAAAGCAATGATAATGTTCATCGATAAATAGTTCCTGTAAAATATCTAACAGCAGAAATACAGATTCAAGAAGAAGGATGATTGTTAAACATAAACTATTCACTGACAGAATGTTGCTACTGCATTTTTTTATCATTATTATCTAATGATGGGAATTGTTCTATAATCATAACAATACTTGCTATTTTCTTCCTTTTATCTAACCAATTACCTTGATTTGCATGTCAGCTATAAATTTATTATATTAACATAAAGCCTAAATCTCAAACTCACAACTCTGTTACCTAAAATGTAGCAGGTCAGAAGGCTTAAAGACAGACAGAGAGAGAGATAGATAAAGAAGATAGAAGAAATAGATCTTATTACCGTAATTTTATACAAATTACGGATTATTCAACTATAGAACTCCTTTTTTCTTTTAAAAAAAACACGGAGCTGGTGCAGACATTCTTTCCTATGTGTAAATGGGGATCCGGTCCTTGCAGGTGTGTTCATCAGCAGCCCTGAATATTAGCTTTAATTATTAACAACAACAAGGTAGACATAGCTATGGGTTCCTACTTTTTTCTGCTTAAATATCCGATTTAGTCTGGCTTATAATACTGTTTTATTATTAGCTACTTTAGCCTCCAATGCTTTTGTAACTAAATGGAGCTGAGATATATCTTTAATCTAGAAAATGACAAGTTTTAGCAGCATATTTAGACTAAAATGTCATCCAGATCTATCTCTGCTAATCTTCTCCTGCACTCCAAAACTCCTCAGCAGCCAAAGCATCTAAGATTCTTTTTCATATGCTGCCTCATCAGAGTAAAGCTTACTGCAGCTTCACCAACCTGCTCTACCTTCTACTCAAATTGTTTCCCTTCCTCCTTAATCCTCCCGTTTACCACTAGTGTCCAGGCTCCAGGGAAAGGACATCTCCATTCTCATAAATCTGCCCATTCTATCATCATCAGCAATGTTACATATGAAAACGCCTTATGCTGGGTTAGTAACATCAAAAATATTTATAATGATTTATGTCAGTACTCTAATCATCTCTCCAGGTTAAAATGGATGTTGTTTGCTTAAGTTTTGGGAAGGTTTTCTTTATCAGTGCTGCAGATAGAGGCACTTTACAAATGTATTTTTTAAATTGTTCTGAATATCAATGTCAAAGCGTTAGCAAAGCGTACAGGCTTTGTCTGGGAAATTCTTTTTTTCTGTCTGCCTCATAGGAAAAGTACCTGACAAAACAACACTTTGTTTTGCTTATCAGCTAAAGAGGCTCGTTTATTCTTTCATTTTTTTATTTTATTTTATTTTTCTTTATGTACTCTCTGTGGTAGCACAGTTACAATCTTCCAGCAGCAGCTTATTATTTTAGACAGTTGAGTGGCTGGGGTGTAGGAAGGGGTTGAGTATCTATTGCAGCACTGCTTTTAGAAGAAGTGCAACAATATGGCCAAATGAAAATGTGTCCGTTAGTTCTAACTTCTCATACAAAACTTTATCTTGATTTATGTTCTAATATTGATTAAATCAAAATATTGTTTTTGGAAACTCCAATTACTACTCACGTCTGACTATAAAAGTTTTCAAATTTACATCTCATATTTCAGTTGATTCTTAAAACTAATAAAATGAAAATCAGACAGGAAGCCTTGTCCACAAACAAAAGAACAATGTGTTTTCTACTCCCTTCGTCCCCTTGCACACTCTACATACACCAGCTGGGACAACAAAAAGCTAAACGTAATTTTAAAAAATATGATAGGGCTTAATGTTCAACCAAAGTTCAGAAAAGTGTAACCCTGGCTTTAAAATACATTAAAATAACCAAAGCGTAGACAGGAAACATTGTGTATGCAGCTTTAAAAAGCAAAGTGATTATTTAGTGAGTTTAGCAGAAAATTTTGAGATAAGAAGGTGTTTGTATTGTGCTTAAGAAAACATTTATTTAAGATGCACCTTATGACAAACATATAAGTGGCAAAAAAAAAATGCTAATACTGGTTCAGGTGGGGACTTCATCCACATTTCTGAGCCAAGCTGCATTTAAAAAAAAATAGATTTGCGATGGAGTAAGCACACAGATAAAACATTACATTAGTATAAAATAAAATGGATTTAATAATTTTAAGCATTTTAAATACCGTAAGTGAGCAGATCTGCTTACTTCACACATCATCACCCCTGTTGCAATTTGCGATTTACACTCTTATCTATTTCTGTTTTTGTCCTCAGACTTTTTCACCTAATTAACTTTTTTTTTCTGGCTTTTGGCTGTGTTGAGCTGTCAGTTTAACTTTTCTTTTCTTCTATCTTTTACGTTTAGCTGTTTGGCTGCTTTCTGGCATGGGAGACCAGGAACGTGAGCATTCCTGCCCTCAATGACAGCAAATACATCGGAATGAGCGTTTACAACGTTGGGATCATGTGCATCATCGGAGCCGCGGTGTCTTTTCTGACCAGAGATCAGCCGAATGTCCAGTTCTGCATTGTGGCTCTTGTCATCATCTTTTGTAGCACCATCACCCTCTGTCTCGTCTTTGTTCCCAAGGTGGGTTTTTAAACATATTGGTAAAATATTACTATGCATGGACCTGTACAGGATTATTCCAATCAGCTTAATTTATTTATACAGCCCCAGTTCCTTAAAAAAATACTTTCTCAAGGTACTTTACACAAACAAGTACCTTGTAAAGAAAGTACGAATAGATGTATTTACATAATTAATTATGAGAACGTCTTCCAAGATGCTTTTTTTGGACTTTTGAAAGATATTTTGGGGGGAAAAACCCATGTGGTTTTAAGATGGTCTTTCAATACCACTAACCAGTCAGTGCCTACTTAATAACCTATTCCCCTGCCTTACTACCCATATTCCTGGCTCCTAAAATACCACATGAACTGTTGAACATCTGAGTAAGATGTGACAAACGCCCATGTATTTCCTTGCAGTTGATCACAATGAGAACAAACCCAGATGCGGCAACACAGAACAGAAGGTTAAAGTTCACCCAGAATCAAAAGAAAGAAGACTCCAAAACCTCCACCTCAGTCACCAGTGTGAACCAGACCAACACCTCTCGACTGGATGGGCTACAGACCGATAACCACCGTCTTCGCATGAGGATAACTGAGGTCTGAGACAAAGGGCTTCTTCTTTAGTACTTTTCCTAATAAATGATAATTATGGTACAATACCTAACAGTGGTAATGGGGAGGCTTTTAATGCAATAATAAAAAAAAAGGTTTTAAGCTAAATTAATTACAGGTACAATCATTTTTGCTTGAATTTCGAGAAGAGAAGAAAGAAAGACCAAAGCCTTTATCTCCTCTAAATCGAGGACGTAATAGCTCTCCTGCATGCAGTTCATTTTCAGATTTGTATTCATTTTGTCACCTCTTAGCAGGAGAATTGTTAATACCCACTCTGGTCACTTCAAGAGATTGCCATGATTTTCTGTTCACCCTCACTGATGCATTTAATAGGATTTAAGGATAAATGTTCAGTCTAACATCAGTTATATCTTAAAAAGATAATCTGTCCATTGGGTATCTCTGAGATTCAATTTTGCTCCCTCCTTTTTGTTTATGATTCAGTTGAATAATAACAAATGAGAAGACGAGGATGTTTATAATGGCTTTAGCTAGAAGGTGCCTTAGTCATGGGCTTAGTTAAAGTCCAAAATGCAGCTCAAATGTCAGAGTTTAGTGATAGACAGCACAATTTAGAGTGAGAGAACATGGGCTTAGTACAAGCCTTTAGAAATTGGAGTCTATGGTACAGGATTGGTTATTGCGTTAAGAGTGGATAAAGAAACTCATACCCTTTCAATATTTACCTTACAACAACAAATGTTACAATCTTCTAATGGGATTTTACATAAGATCTATATCTAGTGGGAGTAAAAATATAAATGTCTTCTAAAATGTTTTTAAAAACATCTGTGAGAATCCAATTTCCATAACATAACAGATTATAAATTGGATTTAGCCATTTTAACCAGAGCTACAATGGATTGGTTTGCGAGGAGGTGAATATTTATCCCAATGCTTAGTCTTTTGCAAGCTATAACATTCTTCCATAATCTTATCTAGTTTTTTGTTTTTTTTCCCTGCATTTTGTTGTCATTACACTGTCACAAGTACAGAGCAACGAAATAAACTCCTGCATTTAACCCATCCCCTTGAGGAGCAGTGGGCTACAATTGTGCGGCACCCGAGGACCAGTGTGGGGGTTAAGGACCCTTGTCCTACATGTAGCTCTATGTACTTTACCAACTATAAGCAATCTTCCCTGCATCCACTTAAAAACATTAACCTTGTGTTCATCCAACTTAATTATGCTGTTTATTCACTGCTTTCTACTGTTCTATTTGATTTCACACAAGTGCTCCTATTAATGAATTAAGTATCTTTTTTTGGCATTTGGATGAGATGGATTTTACTCCGGGGTTATAAGAAAAATGTAGAGCATAGTTTTCAGATCTTAAATTACAAAAATGTTCACAGCCGTTTATCGTTTCACGCTTCACATTTACGTTTACACAATATATTGATGTTTGTCTAGCACACAAAATTAATATATGTTTTGGTTCAATTACATTTAGTTTATTTAGAAGGCTTCATCTCGTTCATCTCAAAGGCTTTTTACAGAGACAATTCAATTAATCATACAGACAGATAAAGGTTTTCTCTCTAAGGAAACTCCTGCATCGAGTCAGTGAGTTTGCAGAATTCGCTCTACTTTGATGAGCATATGGCAACAGTAGACATTTGTGTTGTCCTACGATGGACTGGCAACCTGTCCAGGGTGTACCCCGCCTCTCGTCGTAGACAGCTGGAGATAGGCACCAGCGCCCCTTGTGACCCTACTAAGCATGCCAGAAAATGGATGGATGGTTTCTAAAGCTTATTTTGAAGTATCACATCAGAAAAACTCGATGGAAACAGTAAAGTTCCAAAAAACTCCCTCAAATTCACAAAAAAAAGGTTATGCTTTCTTGAGATAGTTTTTGGAGTTGTATTTAAGGGTTAATGAGTAAAATGGTAGACGGAAACACTTTTTTTAAAGCAGCTCTGACATAGCAACTTTAACCTCACATGAATGATGAGCTGTTTCCGCTGGCTGAAAGCCAGATATTACTAGCTGATATGTTAATATAAGAATAACTTGACTAATAGTAACATTAATTAAACTTTACTCCATTACTAATCTGTGATCAGGGCTAGATTGCAGCCTCTACTTCCTGTTTACTACAGCCATGCGTGACGATGTAATGTTGACAATGATGTATGTCATCCTTGTTTTACAGTGTTTTGTTAATTAACTTTAAACCAAATGGAAGAAAAAAAAGTTACATTTGTATTTACTTTTTTTTTCAACTTTTAGAAGATTGTGTATAGTTTGCATTTCAATTAAATTAAAAAAAGGATGGTGATGATGAGTAAAAACAGAGAATATAAAGTTAGAGGTTGAAATGAATGCAGAATTAGAGAGTAGAAGTGGAATGAAGCAGAATGATGAAAAGTGGTCCCTATGTCCTCCAGCAGCCTAGGCCTATAGTAGCTTAACTACTATAGAGATAGCTGAGGATAACCTGAGCTAGTCTTACAATAAGTTTTATCAAAGAGGAAAATTTTAAGCATAGCCTTAAAAGTAGACATAGTGTCTGCCTTAAAGACCAAAAACTGGTAGTTGCTTCAACAGGAGAGGAACCTGATAACTAAAAGTGCCTCCATTCTACTTTTATAAATTCTAGAAACCAGTAGTCAAACCTGCAGATTGAGAGGGAAGTGCTCTGTTAGCAATATAAGGAAAAATAAGATCTCTGATAGAGATTGGTTATTTAGAGCTTTATTCGTAAGAAGGAAGACTTTAAATTATATTCTGGAATTAACAGGAAGCCAATAAAGAGAAGCTAAGATAGGAAAAATATGATCTCTCTTTTTAATTTTCATAAGAACTCTGGCTGCAGCATTTGGATCTTTTAATTACAGTTTGTGGACTTCCTGATAGTAAAGAATTAGTTTCTCACTAATTCTAGCTAGTTTCCAACCTCTTTGTCACTATCTTTCCTGGACAAACTATTTCTATTTTCATTATATTCCAGAGATGAGAGAAGGAAATTCTAGAAGCCAATTTAATATGGGATTTAAATTATGTCCTAAGCAAAATCAAAACCAGCTACTTTTTATGTTAGTATCCTACAACAGTTTAATTCCATCCAGATGATGTGACTGACTAATTAGCTTCTTTTTCAAAGGCTCTGGTCCAAACGCAGTAACTTCTCTTTGTCTTAATTCAAAGATAGAAAGTTTAATTTTGTCTCGTTAGAAACAGCTGAGTATCATCAGCATAACAGTGGAAATTAATCCCATGCTGTCTAATAATTGTACAGATTGGGAGCGTATATGTAGTAAAGAGAATTGGTCCTAGCATTGATCCCTGTGGTAATCCACAGGTAACCCCGGAGCATAAGGAAGATATATCATTGTGAACAAACTGAAATCTGTCACATAAACCAAGCTAGCACAGTTTTCTTAATTCCTTCAAAATGCAAAAACCTTTCTAAAAGAATATTTTGATGGACTGTATTAAATGCAGCACTGAGATCTAAAAGGAAAAGTACAAATACAAGGCTATTATCTGAGGCCTTAAGAATATCATTAGTGACTTTCACCAGAGCTGTGTCAGTGCTATGATGAGCTCTAAAGCCAGACTAAACCTCATAAATAAGGTCATTATGGTGGAAATCATTACACATTTGTTTAGCAACTATTTCCTCAAGAATTCTTCATAAGAAAATTAGATATATGTCCATAATTGATTGCATCATTTAGAACGAGATAAGGTTTATTTAGTAAAGTTTTAATTACTGCCACCTTAAAAGGCCCTCTGTACATATCCCTGTATTAGATAGATTAATCATATTTACATTGGAGGTGGAAATCAGCGGGAATAGTAATAATTCCTTAAAAAGAGGAAGGGAGTAGGATGGATCAGTGTTTGTGACTTTGAGACTGGAGGGCAGTGCAGATAGCCAGGTTGATTAGGGTGAGCAGGTGAGGCCAGAGTGCAGCATGCAGGAACAACGTCTCTAATCAGATGGGACAGGAATGGGGTGAGAGAGAACTCAGGCTGCAGGGCTGGAGGTGGAAAAGACAGGCCACCAGTGGCCTTTAGGATTTTTGCTGAGTTAGAAAACTCAAAGCAGCAAATGTAGCACTTTGTTAAACATGCATCGGACTATGCTACTGCCTACTTAAATTACATTGTCAGCGAATACTAACATACTTGTTCACAACTAGGTGTGTTTTTACGTTTTGACTAATGTTTATCCATATCAAAACACATATATAACAGTCCCTAAAGCTACATACATTTCTGTCCTCTCCAAAACAGTTGGACAAGGAGCTTGAAGAAGTGACCATGCAGCTGCAGGACACCCCAGAGAAAACTCCCTACATTAAACAAAACCATTATCCCGATGCAAATAACATCCTAAGCATACGCAACTTCACAGACGGTAAAGGTAAGTAACTATGCATTTCACATATTTCCTGCCTTTCAACGAATGTTATGTAGAATCTGTTCGATGTGCATTTAAGCTTTTCTTCAGGATCTGTAGTAATATACATTCTACCATGATAATAGCTGCAATATTGATCCTACTAGACTCAAACTTTACATTACATTTTTGTGTGTGAAAATTAATACAGAATAGGAATGGGACACCACCAACTTTAAGACAGACAAATCAAATGTATTGCATACAGTGACTGAGGTAAGATCGTGGGGGATTTCCATATAGAAATAGACAAAATAGTTGTGGCATACTAACCAGACATTGTGATCATTGAAAAGCAGCAGAGGACAGCCGTAGCGGTCGATGTGGCCATTCCAAATTAATACTAAGTGGCTCAGGGAAGAACCAGAGAGAGCCTGGAAGGTGACGGTAACTGTAGTGTCCATGGTCATAGGAGCATTCAAGGCAGTAACCCTCACTGGAGAAGTTGGTGGAACAGCTTCCTGATTCCAAAAAAGTTTTAAAAAAAACAAAACGTCTGTGGGGGGAAAAAAGACATAGATCCTCATCCAGGCTTGCTTAGAGTTTCAAAATGCTTTAATTTTAAACTTTCCTGAATTGTATGATCTGCATCATGCTCTTCAAGCATTACTAATGAAAAGTTCTTTGAGACTTTGGTTGACATAAATAAAATCAAGTCTGTTTGGCAGACAGAATCAGTACATGTAATAAAATAATGGTTAGGAAATGGTTTTGGATGGTTAAAATGACTCATCAGAGCTTGAATTGATCTATTTTCAGTAGAGATTAATCTCTTCCTTATTCTTCTCCACAGCACAGACTGTTTAAATAGCTGTATCTTGGACATTATAAACTCTGCTGCTTTAAATTAAATCAGTCAATCACTGGTTCAGCAGCCTTGCTTTGCATCAGACACTGATTTAAAAGACAGAATGATGGAGAATCCTTTTAAGTTTGGGTAGAAGTGAGAGTTTGGTTTTGTCTCTGTGGACTGAGAGCAGAGTTGGTTGGAATTCTGTGCGATTCCTCTTCTGCAAACGAACATTCACACATTAACAAAGCTAATCCCTCTATATGACATGACATTCTTCTTATTGACATATTTATTGTTTTGGGACCAAGGAGAGGATAGGTTTAAATGAAGATGGTTTGTAATATTGTGCTGTAGTAGTGGAGCCTTGCTGCTAGTGTTCACTGGGTGAGAAAGAGATGCCGGGATTCTCCTAATTAGTAGGTAATAAATGCATGAGCTACCATCTGGGACAAATTTGACCTCCAGTTTGTTTTTTTATAATAAAAAAAAAGAAAAACAACAAAATGACTACAGCTGAATTTGGGTTGCCATTCGTATTTTCTGTGTTTCAAATTTTTTTTTTGTTTTTCTCTTAGTGGTTTGTTAATTAAAACAAGATATTCATCAGTAAAATATCCCTTTTTTATTTATTTATCTAAACATAAAGTCAAATTTCCTTAATCTCGTTGTTGTTATTATTATTATACATCAGAATTCAAGTGCTGATAGAGATCTGTCCAAATTGACTTATTCTATTTTTTAAGCATATTTTAAAAAGTTTACCCAAAGTACATTACAAGCCTAGGAAGTAAGACTGACATGAAAATGCTCAAATGTTACAACAAAGAGAAAAGCAGCTCATATCGAGTCTAAGGCCAGCTGAAAGAAACGTCTTTTTAACACAGACTAAAAAAGATAAACAGGAAGCAAAGATGCCTGTTCAAAAGTCTTAGTGCCACAGCTATAACCTCAGTCGCATTCATCCTGTCTTGATTATTTTAACAAATGGAGGTAAGAGTACAGTCAGGCTTTTGGTTTATTTTTGATTTATTTATCCATGTTTTTTATGGATTCATACAGAATTCTTCTTGAAAATATTTAAAACAAGTGGCGAAAAATCTATATCAGTACTGTCATTTTTTTTCTCTTTTTTTTTGATACAGGACAAGTTTAATCATTTTAAAATAGCTTACAAAAGCATTCCAATAAAACTGTAAATTGTAATAAAACAAAAACAGTAACTTCAATAAGATATATTGAACTGCATGTTTGCAAACACTCTTCAAAACTCACCATATGTTCAACCGTACTGACTTTTCAATTTGTTTATTATTTCAAGCATGGATGCTCAATAAGTCTTCCCAGTGACGGTATGAATGAGGTCATACTGAGACTCAAAGAAAAGCCTAATTTAAGATGTTGCTAACGGTTTTGAACCACAACCTGGCATTAAAATCTAATTAAATTAGCTCTTTTTAAAAGATCTACAGCATGTATAGTTTTCCCTGCCTTAGCTGGTTTATGCATCTTCACTGCCTCCTAGCTGCTGGCTTTAGAATTCTTAATAGAGCTGCCCTACATGTGTAGAGGACCTATGATCGAGTTTCTGATCAAGAAAAGGATGCTTTGTCAACCTTCATTACACTCATTCACAGGAGGTTAGATGCAAAGCGTAACTCTCTTCCTCCATCTGACTGTGTTGCTGAATATACTCACTAAACTAAACATCTGGTTTAGTCCAGGTGTGGTGACTCGAAATAGTTACAGATGATTGTTCGAATAGCTTAAAACCATCAGTGTAAATTAAATGATATTTATTTAAGTTTAGGAGCAGGGGAAAGATGTGGAAGCAAAGATGTAAAGATAATAATGATTAAATCGCTGGAAGAAGCTGCAAATACAAAATAAATTAATTGGTTTCATTTAATTTTTTAACTTCAAGGCTTTTTCGAGTCATTTAAAATTAAATAATACTTTCATTCTGACCATCAAGCTAGATAATAGATAAACAATAACCTGTGATACGAACAATTTTTTGATAGCTATACTGGAAATAGTAACTCAGATCTTAAGAGCTGCTTTTATTTTATTTTAAGCCCCCCTTATCAATAGGGGAGACCTTGACAATGTGGGAATAATCTCTTTTATTTAAGCTTTGGTAAAACTGTCTTCTGATAAACTTTACTATTACTACAACAGTAATTTTCATATTTTTACGTCTACAAACGTAATTCAAGGTTAGATTCTTTAGTGCAGGTTTATTCACAGAAAATAATGATAGACTCGGCAAGTTTATATGTCTTATTCTTTGTTTCATCGAGAACCCTATTCATGATATGAAAGCCTCTGACTGAACCTGTATGCTGTCTAAATACAACACAGAAATTTTGAAATATATTTGTCAGCAGTTTTTTTCTACAACTAAGATCTTTTTTTCCAAAATGCAAACAGCTCTAAAATAGTTTAGTAAGCCCAGATGTCCAGTGGAGGAGTGTGATGCTGACATAAGTGAATCAGGTCAGCAAGTTCCGAACAAAAAGGAACTGGGGCATATGAGGGGCAAATAGAAGCTCTGCAGTTCAAGCTAAGTGTGCTTGAGGATAGTAAATTCAGTTTGATTTTAAACAATGACAATGATTATGTAGCATAAAATATTTAGAAAAAGCCTAATCTCACACACTCCGGAAGTCTAGCATGACAAGCAAGATTCCTTATTATCTCAAGAGCAACAGCAATTTAAAGCTATGAAAAGAAAACATAACACTACAAGAACAGATTGATTATTTTCCTTAGTGTATCGGTATGCTGTGATAATTATTTTTATCATTACGATACCTGGAAAACCGAGACATTGTTTGATTGTATGGGAGGGTGTAGCAACTAAGACATATATGATGCACCGTTTGACTTAATTTATTCAAAATCTTTTAAACCAGATGGAGAGAAGTCGATACTAAAAAACCACCTGGAGCAGAAACCGCAGGCGCAGTGGGGTTCCATGGATCCTTCCAGAATAAGCAGAGGTCCCTTGGAGGATATCAACTCACCTGAACAGTAAGATCTCCCATTTCCAGAGCACATACATGTCTGTGTTCGTCTCTGCCTCCCACCTTCCCACTGTTTAGTGAGCTTTCTCAGCAGATGACAAAATAACATGTAGCGCAACCACCAGAAATTCCCAGGCAGTTGCTCTGGCAACAGAGCCCAATGAACACATGGACCAACCCTGCACTTTTCCCTCCTACACCCATTATGTGAGCACATGTGTGCTCTTTTTCTGTTTAAGACATACAATAGCTCCCATGCAAAATCACCAAGACTTGAAAACCTAGACATGCAGACATTTGGTTTGTTGGACCAACTTGAAAATATGTATTGGATGCTTAAAGCGCTCTTGAAACCAATGCGCATCTACGCTCACCAATTATTCATAAGGAAGCAAAGCTGAGGCATGACGGCTTCATCAGTGAGGAGGGGACAGTATTTCATGCATCATTGAGATTTCTGCCTCCTGCGCTGGTTTTAGCAAAACAGGAGGAGAACGCCAGATTGATGGTGAGAAAGAAGAGCAGACGAAAAACGCCAACAAATTAAGAGGAGCCTGAAAGAAAGAGAGGATAGACTTAGAAGAAAGCTGTTTAGACAGACAAGAGGAGAGGTAGAGACTCACATAGGCTTATATAACAACTGATTTACAGCTTGCATTGGAAGCAGCTCTGAAAATAGACAGGGAGGAGAACAGAAGTAAAGGAACACTCGGAGCTATTCCCATGCCACATGAATGTTTGATCACACTGAGGGAAGAGAGATGAAGAGGTAGCAAGAGAGAAGGTGAAGAGGAAGAGAAGACAAACATAAGTTTGAAAAGAGTTATAAAAATAGAAAATGTTGCAAAGACTGAATACTTTGTGACATAATAAATGCAAAGTCACACACGATGAGCAGTTCATCTTTGAATGCAGCATCAGTCAAAGGGGACAAGGTATTCATGAACCAGCATGATTATGTTTCTATCAGACATACAGCCGGTCATTATCATTGGCACATGTATAAGACCTTGAATCATTTTAAGATTCCACTAATAATTCGATTTTTCTAGGTCTGTCATTGAACATCCTGGATTTACATTATCCCCTCACATTCTTTTTTTCTTTACATAACAAGTCTATTGGTTATGTAATTTCTTCGCCGACAACTGGCAGTGACTGTGGTGAGGTGGGGTGTGAAGTGTCACACCAGGATGAAAGCATGAAATGTTCTTTTAGTCAGATCATCCTAGAAGCTGGAGGAATGGGGTCTTATAGGCTTAGAAGGAAGGAACGTAAAGCTGGGGGAAAATGGTGGCTCTATTCTACACGGTATAGAAAGAGGAAAATATTGAGCAACTGTAGAAACTTAACTCAGGTAGCCATTTCTTTAAATGTCTGGTATTTCGGGTGTGTTTGTGTTTAAAAGCTTTTACTAAATTGTTTGGATCTACAACACTTCAACATGAACAGAGGAGTGTTATAGAAGCTAGTCATATTACGCCGATTCTAAAAACTCTTCATTGGCTCCCAGTCTCTTTTTCGGTTCCAGTTTAAAATTCTGGTGCTGACCTTCAGGGCCTTTAATGGTCTGGCTCCCTCCTACATTACAGACTTGTTGTATCCATACACCCCCTCTCGGAGGCTGAGGTCTCAGGAGCAGAACTTGTTCATGGTCCTTCGTACTCGTTACAGGATCAGGGGAGATCGCTTATTTCGGCCGCTCGTAATGGCGCTCTGGAACGATGTTCCGCTTTCCTTGCGCTTACTGGATTCTGGTGACGTTTGAAGTGAACTGAAAACCTATTTGTTTAAGAAAGCATTTTAATTCCAGTAGACTAAGGGTTGTTTTATTGTCATGTGTCTTTTGTGACTGTAAATGTATTTTATTTGTATTTTAATTTCGTGAAACACTTTGTGACCTCTATGTCTGTGAAGGGTGCTATATAAATGAATAAAAACATTACCTGTTGCCCACTTGTACTCATTTCCTTTTCTTTCCCTTTAGCTCCCTTCTAGTTAGTTCCATTCACACCTGCTCCATATTCAGCTCATTAGCCCATCCTTTGCTCTGTTCTCCATATATTCACCAATTCTGCAGTTCCTCGTTGCTGCTTTTTTGTTCTTTTGTTGCTCTTTCGTCTCCTTGCTTCCATGTGTTTTTTTCCCTGAGGTTTTCTAATTTTTTGGTTATCAGTATTTTGTATTTTTTTTTTTTGTTTTGCCAGCAAAAATTATTTCTGCCTACTCATCGCTGCTTTTGAGGCCTAAAAAAGCTCCACTCAACCTTGACAGATAGACTTCATTTGTTATGTTACAATCCAACCAATCAGTTGTTTCTGTTTTTGGAAACTGTATTTCAGCTTAATCAATTTATATCCAGATTACATAGATAATGATATGACTCTTTTTTAGTTCTTCTGTTTTTAATTTTACATAGCAGTAAATACAGGGAGCAAAACAAAAGAGTAAAAAATCTATTTCTGAATTCAGACTTAATTTATATCCTAATTAATTGTCTTAGTGGATATAATTACCAAGGGAGAACATAATTTGATGACAGAGCCTTCTGATGCACACAGGGAGTGGATCCTAGTTGCTTTTGAAAATCAGTGATGCAATATTAGCATGGGGCCAAATACATGAAAGCAGTCCATGAAGCTTGATAAACCAACAAGTGAGTGATCCAATAGATGTCTAGATTTATTTGACTTTCTGAACCTGAAGTAAAAATATATGCACGGACGTCACTGGCCAAGGCAAAGCTAGAAGCACTTACCTTCATCTGTTTAACAACCTCTTTGAGTCTACATAAATCATCAGCTTATATTCTGTGAGAAGTGAGTTTACACCACATGAATAGCTAAAATCACACCAGCCGAAAACTCATAGCTACACAAATCAGTGTTTTTTTTTTGTGGTTAAAATTAACTTTCAGATTAGAGACACCTAACATACTTAGGTGTTGCCTACATGGATACAATCAAATTATGTACAATACGTTACTTTGTGTTATTAGTCATTATAATGTATTTTCTGACAGAATCCCTCTTGCTTTCTTTCCAGCATACAGCGTCGACTGTCCTTGCAGCTGCCTATCCTGCACCATGCATACTTACCTTCCATAGGAGGTGTTGACGCCAGTTGCACCAGCCCTAATGGAAGCCCGGGTTCAAGTCCGAGGCACAGACACATGCCCCCTTCTTACAGGGTAATGGTCTCTGGCCTCTGAGCCTCATTCATCCCCCTCACCCCCAACCTTGCTCTTTGCTGAGGAGAACAAATGGTTCTATTTTCTACAACTAATAGACTGATATTGTCAGCATATGTGCGTATTGCGTCTTGGACTGAAAAGAAGTTGGGGGGTGAACAAAGAGAGGGGAGGGGGCAAAGGTTCACTTGTCATACCTCTGCACTTGGGTCTTTTGAGGACTGATGCCAGTCAAAACTGGGTGGGAGAGGACAGTCGATGCTTAACTACTTCTGTGATTAACATCCCTTCTGCCATCTTCCTCCCTGCTTCGGCGTGCTTACACATATGCCATGTCAGACACAGATTTCTAGAACAGAGATGCACCCCAATGTCCAAGCACACTGACACCCCAACAGCAGCATTGGACCAGCCCTAAACTGACATGTAGCCTTATCTGCTTCAAAAGGGATTGTTTCTGTTTCTTATCTGTTTTGTGTACTATATGTGCTTGCAGCTCCATGTGAGCCATCTAACATTTTATCGCTTTAGTGATTGGATATGAGTTCAGGAGCAACAAGGTGAATTTTCAAGATCCTACTAAAGAAAGCATCCCCTGTCCACTTCTCTAGCCTGTGTGGAAATGTAAATATCATTGCTTTTGACACTGGTGTACTGTAAGCTTTGCATATGTTGTGAATGGATAAATCAATAGGATTTAAGTGTGGCGCTTGTAACAAAAGCAGGTGAGAGCTTATAAAAATATTACATCGTACAAATCAGACAGAGGCATACATTTGATTAACAAAGCTGTTGATATATTAACTTACAAACAGCATGGATAAAAACAGAATCTGTCAGGGTCCCATGCCTCTAACTTGGAGTGAGATGCACGTTGCTCTTTTTTTTGTTTCACTTTGCTATTTTTTTCTAGACTTGTTTATGACAGAGACCTCCTGTCTGTCTGTAAAGGCCTTCATACTTTACAACTTAAGCAGCCCGTCTTCAGACAGCATGTTTTATAGAAATAATAATGCTATGCCTTTTTCACAGTTCTCAAAGATATTAGAGCAAAAAAAGGCCAAAAAAATAAATTGGTTCACAGCTTTTCTTTTGTTTTCAGATGCCAAGAAATTAAAATACACAGATATAAACATGGAACCCAAGAGAGCTCCTGGCAAATCCAGGTGCTGTTGATGCTACTGATGGGTGAGGTCAAAACGAAGCTTCGTCTTTATACACTGTTAAGATGTCTGCCCTTGCTTTCACGTCTTACCAGCACAGTTGAGGGAAACGGGATCCAACAATAGCACAAAGTTACAAGACTTTGAGGAAAAGCTGTTAAGAGAGTTAAAATGATAGTAAGCAAGGGTGGAAAAAATGTAGGTCTAACAGGTCCTCGGCTTGATTGGACCAAATGGTTAACCTGAATTTCCAGGCACAGAAGCAGACGGACATGTTCAAGTCTTGCATAAGTACCAAACTGTCTGCAGATTTGGTTTCAAAGACAGCGCTGCCACCACTGCTGGTCCCGGTGATTTAGCACAGACACAGGGCTTTCCCTCACAGATAATAAGTGTCATGAAAGATCAATCCACTCTTAGCAACAGTGAACAGTTGCTACAGAAATGAAACTCAGTGCTGTGGAGCTTCACCTAAGATCTTCATCAAGAGTATGGATGTTGTTTGTTACTTTTTTTTCCTAATGCAGGAGAAAAAGCAAATTTGGGAAAGGGGGGCTGCTCTCTGCAGGAAAAGGACTTTTTTTTATTCTGAGCGATAAGGTTCGTTCTCAGTATGTTGTTTCACCATCGGTGTCTTGGTTTTATTTATTTTTTTCAAGGCGTTTCTTCAGCGCCGTGCCTGTTGTCTTATATTGTAGCCTGCAAGACCCACAATACATACAAAGGGTTCAAACTGCGCTTAACCAGTAAAAGTGCATCAGCCGCATCTGTAAATGGAACAATGCGTCATAGACCAATCTGATGTCCATCTGTCCGTGGACAGGGATAGCTTTGGGAGCGCCTGGTCAAAGCTCCACTTCAGCCGGAGGATATTTCTCCATAAACACAAACGCTTCTCAGAAAAGTTGGAGGATTCAGAGTCGAAGCGGAGAGTCGAAGACCTGCTTTCAGACATATCGGGGTTTGAGCTCCTCCCATTCCCAGGCCTCTGCCGCGAAGCGCGGGGGCAGGGGTGATAAAAGAAAAACCCAAGCACAGACCTCAAAAGGGAGTCATGACTTCTCCTGCACCTTTGCCAACCAGAGAATCACAGTCACAGAACATGTGAGTGGGAGACATTAACAGAGGGTTGGATCTTCCTTCAGAAGAAGCAAAAAAACCGACCGCACATTTTATATATTACATTATATGTGATTGTGTACAACTTTGCTGATACCCTGATGACAGTGTCCATGTATGGAGTATTTGGTATTTGGATTTCTCAAGATGGCATGAAATAAAATGTATAATTCACAGAGTTACCTCTGTTTTTTGCAACTGTTGTGACAAAGCTACTCTGTTGTTCCATCATATCACCTGTAATTTGGTTTTCTTCTACAAAGTGTTCACACACCTGTTCAAATGTCAGGGCTTTGTGATGTAAAACTGAGACTATGATACAATTTCCCCACCTTTAATGTGACTTTAAACCTGCACCACTTAACTTAAAAATGATCTGTTAAGGTGGAAGGGATGCAATAATTATCCATTTAGATTTAATTTATTAGCGCAGCTTTCTGGAGGGGATAGTGAAAAGTCTGCCTTTGCTAAACCATATTTAGCCACATTACCTTGTAACATTTTTTTTTATATTTAATTCATTCTATTGTTGATTTAAATATACGCTTGAACACATTGTGATCAAAAAACAATCAATGAATGGATACTAACTAAAATCCCTTGGTCCACTCTGCAGCAGACTTCTGAGCATTTGAGGATGGACTGGAGTCTGACAAATAACCCAGAGAGTATTAACCCCAGCGCATGATGCAGCCAAGACCATGTTTCACTGTTTACATGGTGATCTTTCTGTAATGTAATGTGCTGTTTTATGTGCAATATTTTTAGTTTTAATTTAGTCTCATTTGACCACAATACATCTGCCAACGAGGTTTTAGGAGATTTTATCTAAAACTGGATGGTTTATTATACAAAGATTTCAGCCTAGTAACCTTAACCCTAACATTTTCGAAATGCATTTGTTTTAGAAACTGTGCAGCTCCATCACAGATTCACATTTCACAACAAATATGAGGCATTAAAGCCGTAAAAGTTTTTTTTTTCTTTTCTTTTTAAATGAGTACCATATGTCTTCTTTTATGCTTTCCAAAGCTGACATTTTAACAGGGGTGTACACTGTTTTTAAATCCATGGTATTTCCCTACAAGCTTTAGTTTCTGTTATTTTTAGCTATTTATCAGTTCACACATGTCAAAGCCAAGATGCTCAGTGAACTAACTAAACATCATCTCATCTAACATGCTACTGAACTAGCACCTGTTCACTGAAGGCAATAAAATAAAGGTAGCAGCTATCGAACAAACTCAATAATCTTGTGTGACAAAAAAAAAGAAAAAAAAAAACAGCCAATCCTTTTCTTTCCGATCAGTCGAAAAATATCAAATGCAGATCATCAGGTGTTGTTTTTTTTTCTTTTTATGTGCCCTATTTCTATTCCTTTATTTCAGTTATTCTCATAAACAAACAAATTTTACAAATGCAATTTTGGTGGGTCAAGGGCTCATAATAACCTGTAATAAATAGCATCATGCTGATAGTTTGTATTTGCCACAGGTCTTTTTACCTTTTCAGTTTGAAGATCAAAGTGACGTATATGAGGATATCTTTGTACGTTAATTGTCAGGTTCTCTGGAGTAAATCAACACAAACCCAGATATGATACACTATATAAAAAAGAACAAAAAAACATATTCAATGGAGACACACAAAAGGTCCATGCTGTTACTGTTTTGTCAGTTTGATATGTGGTATGACATGGCATTACGTTCTAATAAAAATGGTGAACAAAAACCTATGTTAAATGCAACATGTTCAAGAGGGGCAATAACTTGTTTTCTTATTACAGAAAGAATAGAGAACTATATATATAAATATTATATATGTATATGTAAAGATCTTTACGTACATTCTCATTTTTACATAGGGAACATTTCACAAATCTGAAGTCTTCTTTTTATTTACAGTATCTGTAACTATGTTATGTACAGGTGAGGTCTAGATATGAAAAACTTGTATAAAATGAGTATCACACTTGGAACACCTGAACATTTTTTTGAGCCATTGGTTGTTATTTGGGGGGGAGGGTTGGGGATACTTGAAAATCATTCTTCTTTTGTTGTCTGAATGTTATGGACAGCCTTTACTTTTCACATCATCGTTAAATAAAGTGTGACTGAAAACATTGCAGTGTTTATTTTATCCTCACCTGCTGTGAAAATGCACATTATAAAAGATGATGATCATCAATATCAACACATAACGACAACAACAATGTGTAAATAATGTAATGCGAGCTGGTAGGATCAGTCTTTTGTTTTATTCTATTCAAAGAAATCAGGTTGAAAATAGGGTTTATCCTTGTTCTGGTATTAAAATGATAGGGGTGATAAATTCAACCATCTAGAGCACTTTTTTGCTTTTACATAATTTTTTTTTTTCTTTTTGGTTAATTGACATTATAACACTTACATAAATTTTTCTTTACAATTCAGGTTGGAAAATATATATATTTTTTCATCAATGACAACTTCATTATAAAACAATACACCTTGCATTTAAAAAAATAAAATAAAAATAAAAAGCTAGGATGATAAGAAGACAAAAAATCTTTGATTTTTAATTTTTTTTTTTTTTTTTTGTATATTTCAGTTAACAGTCAATTTTTTCATTCCAGGGTGCAAAACAGCAAAAGGTTCCTGAAAAATTCATGTTTTCTGTGAGGTTGTTCCATAGATGAAGAGAGAAGTAAACCCTTGTTAGGTTCTGGTCACCATGTCTGGTGATCTGGAGGATCTAAAATGTTTGGTCTAAATTAGTGCTGCAACTAACAATTATTTTGCAAATAGATTAATCTGTCGATTATTTACATTTAACAATTTTTTTTAAATGCAAAATGCTTTTACAATTTTGGTATAATAACTGCTCAAAGTGAGTTTTTCTATCAGCTAAAGGTATGTTTTACCTTCTCTATACTCCATTTAACAGTTAATTACTAAATTAGTAGACCATTATTTCAATAATCGATTAATCACAATTAATCCCGTAGTTGTTTCTAACCTACCGTAGTCTAAATACATATCAGCTCTGCTGGTTGGGTGCCATCATTTTACAAATAAGCCAGTGTAGTCTAAAAAAGGACTAAAATTGCAGTTTTTTTTATCTTAAATAAAAGTGTGAAACAGTAGTTTGTGTTTCATGGTTTGACAAATTCTCTTTATTCTGGAAATGTCTGCTGATATAATGAAAAACAAAACTCATGCAGTTAAAATTTAGACCAAAGATGATAGAGCACCTACATGGCATGCTAGTTTTCTTTTAGTTGTTTCATAGCCTAGCATTTCTGAGGTGACACATTACTTTGTCTTTTCTTCATTAAGATGAAGAAAATCCTTATCCATCTTCTTATTCATAATATGGGCGCTGTCTTTTAGTGACTATAAGAAAAAGTGCTGTCACAGAAATACTGTGCATGTCAACAGCATGCACTGAAGAAATGCTTTATATAACTTCATAATCTGAGTTTAGGGGAACATGAAGATATTAAATAAAATTGGCTTTTATATTAACCCCATATCCTAATATCTAGACTTAGACAAACTTTGTCATATTAGGAAATTAGGAAAATGAAATTAGGGACAAAAGGAAAAACCAGTTTAAAGTCATGGTGCAAAAGGTGTTGATATGGAAAAGTTCAGTGCAGTGCAAAATAAATATGGTGCAAAATGCAGTAGAACCTTGAGTTGTGTATTTCAAGGAATTATAAAAGGAAAAAAAACAGCCACATTGGTAGTGCAAATATGATGTTGCAAGTGTGATGCAGGGTCTAGTGTAGAGTTAAACAGTTCAACGTTCTGACGGCAGCGGGAAAAAAGCTGTTGCAGAATCTGCTGAACCTCTGGTAGAACAGTTGATGTTACGGACACACGTAGCTGGGATGAAATGTCTTTTATGGAGGGAAGAGTAGCCCCAAGGATCCTCTGCTGTCCTCATCAATATTCTCACATGCTTTCAGTATGAGGCGCTGCAGCATCCACACCACACAGGGAGACAGCTGGGCAGAATGTCTCTATGGTGTAATAAATTAATCTATAAATGCCAAATGATGCTAGGTATTCAACAGTTTGCTGATAAAGATCTCAATCATACAGGTAGCAGATTTCAGTTATTTCTAGGTAGGTTTTACTCATTCACTGATTTGGAAAACTATTTATCCTTTTCATAAGAGCTAATAAGATCTCTGCTGGTCTGCTGCATGAAATCTACAATTTTTTTTTTTTTAACCAAACGTGTGAATTTGGTTATACATTTGCCAGGATTTATTTTATTTGTATATTGTTGTTTATCCCTTGTGCCAATCACAGGATTAGGACTAAAGGGCAGCTTACTTCCAAACTAAAGGTCAGCATATATTGTACACACACACACACAGATTAGACAAACTAACAATAAAAGGCAAACTGCTGCCTCTTTAAAACACTACTTTGCCATGCTGGCTTTGTTTCTCTCACAAAAGCCTGAAATGTCATCATTTTAATGGTGTAAAAACGGTGCTCTTATTTCCCACTTTAAACTCAGGCTATACCTTAGAGAGCTATGGCTGACTCAGAGGTATAATAACATAATCATCCCAAATATTTCCTCATTCACTTTTTTTCTAAAGCAGGACTCTAGAGGTCTGGCAAACCTTTGTCAGAGACTTAATTTGCTGTGCCACTGATCCCTATTTTCAACACTAATCTCTGACATTTAAAGTTCTTTACATGTGACTTCTTGTGCCTCCAAACGTACATTATCAAAAAATTGTCAAGGGGTAATCTAAAAAGCCATCGAAGGACTGCATAATGCATACATTAATGCATTGAGGAACGCCCCAAATAAAAGTATCCCTAAAAATCAATCAGATTCTTCAGTTCTACCATGAAACCCTACTAGTAATGCTTGGACAAAATGATATAAAGTGGGGAATATCCTTTTGAGGTATTGCTGATTTATCCCCACACCTCATGGCCTGAGAAACCCACACCTTCTTGAGGAGCATGTGTCCTGAATGAAAGACACCTTTAGGATAGCATGATCTATGACTGGACTGACTTATGGCCCCATAAAACAGCTGCCACCCAATACATTTATAGCTAGCTTATAATGACAGCACACCTGGCTGAATTCAGAGTAAATTTCCCAATATCAGTTTGTCCTTGAAAACTCAAATAGTTTAAAGTGATTAACCAGAATTTAT